CTTTATTGTGAAGGCAAAGTGCTGCAGGGAAAAGTCCTCATGTAGTGAGGAGCGCACAGCAGAAGAGCAGAGATGCTCGAAACCAATCTATACTTAACAGTTTTTCTCTCTACCACTGTTAGACAAATGACTCCTGTCTTGTTTTATCCCAACATTGACTTGAAAATTATTATTCAGACACCAGCTAGCTATAGATTTGGGGATTGTGAATGAAGCTGTTCTCTTGAGTACACTTGAATTTATCTCACCAAAAGTATATCTAAAAAATTGCCTGCATGTTTCAATCACCTGCAAGTGTCTTAAGAACAGGAGAAACAAAGGCCACCAAAGAACAGCACACTAGAGACACACTGTCCATTTCCAAGACCTGCCAGCAGTGGAAGCTGCTTCCACATCTATACAACAGAGACAAAGCAGAGCCTATGATCTGAGCAAAGAAAACAGCCTTTGCTGTTACAACCTGTTGTATTGTTCTGTCATAACAAATCATGGGCACACTTACAGTAAATATATGTATTTCACTATACTGCCAGTATACCTGCAAACATCTGGCAGTATCCATGGGTGGAAAAAAAAACCCCAAGCAAGTAATTTCCCTCTTGCAGAAGAGGCCTGAACTACATAATTATATTACACTTACTACAATCTTACTCAAACGAGATCCTTTACTAGCTGGATAAAAGGGGAAAGGTGGGCTGCCATAGATGAACATTTTACTTATTTCTGGAAATAGTCACAGCCCTGTCTTTGGTTTTTATCACCCCAAGGTAGCTTCTGAGTAATGCTAGGTCAAAGGCCAGCTGTAATAGGGCCATGGTAAGCAAAGCTTGTGATTAGACCTTCCATCAGCTGTCCCACTGTCCCTGCCCTGCTACAAAAGGGCTGAAAGCTCCAGAGAAAGCTAATCGCCAAAGCAGGATTTCAGTAGCCCTCTGATTTACAGTCTTACACTTGATCCCAGGTTTTCCCCATAGCTTTCTAGCCAAACAGTTATATGGTATAGACAAAGCTTAGTCAGAAGAAGAGAAACAAGTATAAAGACTAGCAGCGGCAATCAGACTGCACTTTCAAGGAGAAAGAAGGCTCAGGGAGTTGAGGTGGCTAAAAGACACAAAAGCAAGTTCTGACGCAGTAAAAACAATAGCAACAAAACCTCCAAGAAAAGGTAGTAACTTATTTGATGATCTGATACCACTGGAAAAAATGGACAGGTTTACTGACTCAAGATATACCTGAAGACATGATTGTGTGTCTAAAAGCCTTTTTTTCTGACTGTTACCAGTCAGTCAAAAGACATTTGCACCCCTGCAAAACGTTGCTTCTCCTGTAACATGATGCTACTTAGTTCACAGACCAAGGCAGGCAAGCAGTAGCATGTACCTCCATGAATACAAAATGTTCTATACAAAATCAAAATAAAGGGAGGTTTGGATGAAATGAACAGCTACATTACTAAATTCAACACAAGTGATATTCTGAAGAAGACCCATCCATCAAAGAACCAAAATGTCCCAGATACCTCCTTTTGAGGCTGGGGGTCTAGGGGTGGGGTGCCAGAAGAAGAAGAGGGAAGTCCTGTTTTGAAAGAACAGTTTGAAAGATTCCTGGAAAAATCAGATTCTCTGTTTTTTTTGCTAACCAGGGACACACTGAACTCCCATCATCATCTGCCTCATGCATGTAAACTGGTATAAAACCACATACATGCTTGGCCAACATGGAACTCTACTGGAGGCAAGAGGGTCTCTATGTTTTATAACAAGAGATTACAGCTCTTAAATTACAAAAGTACTTCAATCTTCACAAAAATACTTCAATCTCAAATTGTCAACAGATTGCAAAACCAGTCTGAGAACTGTTAGTACCGCAAACTCCTATTATTGCTGCAGCATTGAAAAATATTTTAAAACGTTAGCTTGACTTTTCTCAATCTATGAAGAAAGACCCTTCTTAATTTGAGATCTGTTTCTTCATACTACTACATCACATGGAATATCAATACTGTATTTGAATGATACCGATCCATTTGTACTGAAAAGTCAAAGATATGTCTATGAAGGTAGACTCCAAATTTCCATAGAACTTGTGCTCAAAATTCCAATTTCAGCCTGAAACTGAATGAATCTGAGTAACAATATTCTGTCATGGACTTATCTGTATTCAGTCTTCAACAATTTCTCCACCTCTTTAAAAAAACTCTGAACATATTTCTGCTACATGACCAGCCACCATTCTTCTTCATCTATCAGGTAACACCAAATGTAGGAGATTACACCATCACAGCAACAGCAAGTAGGAAAGTAACATATCCATGCCTGCCAGAAATACCTAAGAGAGCAGATCAGAACCAGATACACCCAACAGAAGTCAGCAATGCAGAATTTCAGATGCAACCTATAAATACTACAGCTTCCAAAGAAAATTATTGATTTCCATCTACACACACTTTTATAGACCAAGAAAGTTCCCTGAAAACAAGAGCGAACCACAGACCTTACTTTTGTACAGATTATTGGCCTGAAAACATGCACTGGGCATCTCCACTGCATGAAATTAACTGCAAGTTGGACCTACAAACCCTTCAGGCTTAAACAAACATCCATGTTGTATTAAACACCACAAAACAAAAAGGTGAATGCTTTTGAATCAAAGAGCTTATAGCAGGAAGTGACTATATTCTCAGTAATTCTCTCTCAAACATGCTGAAAACTCGCTGCCTGGGAGCTCTTCCACACAAAAACCATCTTTAACTTCCGCCTGCTGAGTCCTGTGGTCATAACTACTCCACAAAAACAACAACCTTCTATCTATTGTAATCTTCAGTAATTCTTTAGCTTAGATGGCAAGGATTTGTGTTTTTGAAACTTGAACTTACAGTTCAAGACCTGTTGGTAACTACCTGTACACTTTAGTTACATACATAGTTATAACAAAAAACCAAAAAATACAAAACAAACAACATTTGCACTTTCACTTCTTCAGTCATTCCTTTTCTTTCCAAGCCAGAGGTCTGAAGAAGTTTTTCTCACGTGCTTTTCGACTCTAAGACACAGAAGCTCCAAGAGAATTGCATATACCCACCGATATGTCATTGGATGTTATACCAATACAGCTGGGTAAGGAAGACCAATTCTACATAATATTACTACTTAAATCTATCACAGCTCAACATGCCCAAAATGTTGAAAGAAAGGATCTTTATAAATAATACACCGAGAAGATAAGCATCATTATCGACACCATGCTGGATAATCTGTTTTGTTAATTTAGCATTTGTACAATAAGTACAGAACTCATAAATGAAGTCTCACATAACCCAATTGCAATAAACTGGTTTAAATACAATTCTACACTCAGATGACATCAGAAGGAGTTGTCTGCAGAATGACTTGAGAATGAGAAGCTATACTGCAAGCACAGCTCTCCAAAATTAATTGTGCCCTAGTGGAGAATGCAGGTTTGATCTTCAGGCAAGCTTTCAGTTCTTTGCAATTGACGTATTTTCACTTGTAGTCCTTTACAACAACTGAAGAACCATTCTCAGGTGTTTCATGAAGCTTCCATTTGCCAAAAGATCTCTGTTGTGGTCTAACAGACCACCAAGTGCACAGAGATGATTCTTAAGACTATTCAGGCATAAGATGAGTTGCATAGCTAGCTCAGATGCTTAACTCCATTTCCTGCAGTACATCTCTGCACTTCTACTCCATGGCATATTAATTTAAACCCCCCTAACCCAAACAGCTTCAATGCAGCAGTTCAGATGCAGCCCTAATATTCAGTGCTGCAAGGTTTTTGGACTTACCCTTGTGACTTTCACCATGATGCAATCAAAACTGGAGAGACTACTCCCAGAGACTTCATCTGCCCTAATTCTTTTCCTTGTTAACAAAAGGTATTAAAAAGCCTTGCTGGATCTACTGACCTCCCATACTATTATACATCACTTAACCAACCCACAAAGCAGCTCTGATATGGAAATGCAGAGTTAGGTCAGTGGGGAAAAGGATAACTCAAGTGGTATATAACTCACTGGAAAATCGAACACAAAAATAGTGATATGTAGTACCTGCCCTGGCATGTACCTATGAGGTACACGGCCTGCTATCGATAGCTCTAGTTAGTTTATTCAAAGTTTCTACCACCACAGAGCATTTCGTCCAACCTGGACATGTGCTCAGCTAGGAATGCAACCCTTCCACACACAGACACTACTTCCTTAGCAGAAGGAAACCTGAGTGTTGAGATACAATGAAAATACACTGTGACTATATCAGACATTTCTCATGCAGCAAAAAGAAGAAGTTAACTACCCAAGCTTGAATAGTTTAACACTCAATACTTAACTTCTTCCATACCCAAGAGGCTAACTAAATGATTGTTATTCTGTCCCAAGTCAGATACTCATCATTCCCTGATAAGTGGAAGACCAATTAATTGTGTAGCAGTGTATTTGTTTCAATGCTAGCAGTTTCCTCTTTGATCACTGACATTATAATACTGCCTGCATGGATGGCAATGCTGTCTCCCCGTGAAAGCTACATGACAAGAAACCTTAAGAAGTAACTCCAAGCAAAACAGAATATTATCTATGAGAGAAGCAGTTAAGAAAGCAACTGTTAGCCCTCACCACACTGTGCAAGAGCATTACAAAAGTGTCACACATCACTGGAACACTTTCCCACTTGTATGTGACTTTTGTGCGTATCAATTTAGAGCATGACAGGATGTAGATATATTGCAATCTGCTACAAATACACACACCATTGTTCAAAACAAAACAAAAAACAACTCTCCTACAGGCAACCTCAAAAACTCCAGAACAACAGATATTACAGTGCACTGCTTCAATACCTTCTTCTCCTTAGCTGTATCAGAAGCTAACAGGTCCCCAGCTTAGTTAAAGGCACCCAGTTTAGACTGAAAGCCACCAAATCACTGAACTTCTTGAATTTTTACATTCAGCCCACGTCTTTATTATTCAGATCATATAGACTCACCTTAGTCCATGGATGTGCCTTAATCTGAGGAAATTTGAATTCAGTATAGTTTGGATTCATTTCTCTAATTTGCTCCCTTGTAGGCGTTCCCAGAACCTAGACAGGAGAGAGGAAAAAACACAAATGGTTTAGATATGCTTCATATTAGTATGGCAATGAGGACTGAAGTATAACCTATCAAACACTGAGGCAACTGAAGTCAAGCTGTGGAACTAGTAAGTTAATACAGTCTTGAGAGAGAAACAACAAAACTTTTGCTCCCGGGAGGAGGTCCCTTTTGCTTCTGATCCACCTCCCTTGCTCAGGCCAGATCAGATGAAGCAGGTTGCCCCAAGACTGTGTTCAGCTAGCGTTTTCTTGCATTCAATTAAGTTTCATGTGTTTTACCACTGAGAAGAGCCTGGTGGTTTCAAATTCATTCCCTCTCACAAGGTCTTTTATACACACACTGATGAGACCCCCCTGAGCCTTTTCTGCTTCAGGCTGAGCAGTGCCAGCTCTCGCAATCTCTCCTCATATGACAGATGTTCCAGCCCCTTAATCATCTTTGTGGCCCTTGCTCCAACTTCAGTAGCCTCTTGCTAGGAATTCTGTTCATGCTCCAAGCCCAGGGCCAAAAATTAAATTCTCTTCTACAGTTAACTCACAAAATCCAACCATCTTTCTCATACTTTGTGATATTTCAGTGGGGAAGAGTTGACTTTAATCAGATTGCTATAAAACAGTACTACTAAACACACCCAGGGATTGCAGTTTACTGCATAGGGCTGATGAAGGATCAGTAACACAGACTGCATTTTACAAGTCATGAACAACAACCCTCTGACAGGCTTAAAAGATCAGACAGTTACCGCTGAGCGGAGCCAGACAGGTTCCCTACTCCTCACCCCCTGAACTGTGTAGGTTTGGGTGGTGATTCCCCACCTCAGTCTTAGTTTAAATCTAACCTGGAAGCCTCTAAAGGGCACACCACTCCTGGTTCCCTTTCACCAAGTTGTATTCCTCAGTCCTAGAACGTGCACAATGCTATTTCTAGATGCAAATTACTAGCTGTATGAGAAATAACAAACAATGGCATCTCTCTTTGTAGGGGTGGATAGATTTTGAAGGGATTTCAGAAATCCCTCGAGGGAATAAGCCGGATGATATGGAAATAGTGCATTCTGTTCAGTTAGCCCTAAGTGTGACAGAGCCTTCTACCTATATAAGTCTTCTACCTATATATAAAAGCTGCCAAGTATGTTCAAGAAATCCTGTTGTTTTCTGCTTGCACCCAGTTGCTGGGCATCTTTCTGCTCTGCAGAGAGAAGAGGAGATGGCAGAAGGCAGGAGTTGCTCAGCTGTGCTGAGCTCAGGTCCCTCTTCCTATAGGAAACCAGCAGCCACGCAAATCTGACCGCGTGACAAATCTCTCACCATACAGATTAGCATAATGTTATCACCTCATCTCATCATGCTCCACTGACACCATCAGGTAACAAATGATCTACAACATGATGTTAGAGTTCTACCTTACTGCTTAATGCAGAAATACTTGGTTACAAATTCTGCCATCTGTGTACATTTTCATTCTATTAGAAGAGTGGAAATTACAAAAATGCACTCTTCTTTTTGGGGGGAAAATGGTAAAAAGAACCAAGAAATTGCTGTTTGAGTAATTTGTGCAACAGAGAAACTATCATCAGGTAGTATGAAAGGAACTTAATATCTCTGCTATTGAAAATACGAGCAGCAGGACACAAACTAAAATCCTACCCACAAAGCAACCTTTTAAACAAAGAGCAACAGCAGAGGAAATAAACCCTGCACCTTGTTCAGACAGCTGATTCTTGGATAAGAAATTTGACAGCTTGTACAAAAACAAACCATCATGTTTTGTACGTCCCACTGCTCCCCAGGGTTTAAACCCCAACCACTCTAAAAGCCAAGGTTTATTCCCAGAACTAACAGAATATTTTTTTTCTGTGTGTGTCTGAAAAAGCTGGTTTTGCACAGGTGATAAAAAAAGAGGGTGTTTGCAAGATTCCATACATTTTGCTCAACTTTCAAAGGAAAAAAGACCTGACAGGAAAACGTGCCCTTTCCCTGCTGGTTTTCTGTCTGGCACCTACCAGAGCATCAGCCACCCAGCTGCCAGCCCTGCCAGGATGCTGGTGCTCTCAAAGCTTTGATGACCATCACTCTCAAAGCTTTCTAGTTCTAAAAGAGAAGGGGATTTCATCTGCAAGTATTTCTTTAATCCCAATTCAGGATAAAAGCATTTTTTAAAACCTTGGAAGATTTTAGTACTTGAATTAGCTTCCTGAAAAATCATGGGCAAATTCTGTTGCCCTCTCACCATTTCCAAAAGCTAAATTTTCAGGCCTCCCCAGTACAGACAGGACTCTTTAAAAAGCATGTTTACCTTCTTTACCCTTCTTCTCAAAAAATTCCTTTAATAGCTTTCCTAAGAAGAGGCAAAGAGTAGATTTATTTTTAATATAGCCAAAATTCATCAAACTGTCTCAGTTGCCAAGGCTGCTCAGAACAGAAGCCTACACAGTGCAAGTATATTTAAAGACTGCCTATAGCATCAGAGAGAATTCAGATTAGATAGGCAAGGGCAATTTCATGGAAGAATCCATGGGCAATCTCTATTCATACACTTCACTTAAAAACACAGCTGTAACTCCAGATGATGGGAGAGAGCAACTCCTAAGCTCAAGCATAAATAACAACACTTAAGGATGCACAAATGCTTAGAAAAGAAGGTACTGAAGAAGGATCACACTAGCTGAAGGAAGGGATCACCTGGCCTTTCAGTTACATAGCAGCCTCTGACACATGAAATAACTGTACAAAAGGAAAAGTGACTTATATTCGCTACTCAGTGTATTTACTTTGTTCCCTCTAGAATGTAAAACCAGATTGAGCTTCCAACTTGTACCAAAAGCAGATTAAGGGGAAAACCCACACACAAGCTCAAAAACCAAGCAAAAAATGAAATGGAAAGCAGATAGAAGAACAGAATTAAAGACTGTGTCAAATTCAAATCGCAATCCAGAAGAGTGAGATCAACCAGTATTTGACATATCTCAAGGAGGTCCTGCAGTAGATTTATCCTCAGCCCCCAACACAACAACAGTTTGCTACATGATTTTGAAATTGTACCTCACTGATTCACACCAAGTTTTCAGTGTGTTAGGAATACCTTCACGGTACCTCGGTGAGTAACAGCAACCATTTAAGCTGTTACAAAAATTAAGTAAACCTCTTCTTTTAAAAAGTCATACATGTGACTGCACTGTTTGAAATGGAAAGAAGAAGCAGAAATTATTTCACACATTTTTGGCAGAATTACTCCGTGAAACAGCTGCTCTTGCTATACCAACTCTGAAAATACTACGGAGCAGATGTTCCTTGGAGAAAGTTTTCACAAAATCATAGAATGGCTGAGGTTGTAAAGGACATCTGGAGGTCATCTGCTCCAACTGCCCTGCACAAGCAGCACTGGTTAGAGCTGGTTGCCCAAGGCCATGTCTAGATGAGTTCTGAGTACCTCCAAGCAAGGAGACTCCATAACCTCTCTGGGTAACATGTTCCAGTGTTTGACCACCCTCACAGTAAAAACTATTTGATTGTTTGGGATCAGATTGATAATTTGTGACCATTCTTCTTGTCCTGCCATGGGATGGCAGAAAGAGGCTGCCTCTCTCTTTCTTGCACCTTCCCTTCATATATTTCTGTCCACTGGTAAGATCTGCCATGATCTTGCAAACGTCAGAGAGCTTTTAAGAAAAACAGGGTCCCATACTGAATTATTCAGGTCAGTGCAGAGTAACAGACTATTTCACTTTTTTAAAACAGGGTCCAATACTGAATTATTCAGGTCAATGCAGAGTAACAGACTATTTCACTTTTTGGGAAGACTTATAGAAAGTAATATTGTCAAGGAAAAAGTTTGATTTTTTTATTTGGTACTTTCAAAAACCCAAGAGAAGCAAATTAAGTAGGAGACTTATAGAAAGTAATATTGACAAGGAAAAAGTTCGATTTTTTTATTTGGTACTTAAAAAAACCCAAGAGAAGCAAATTAAGTAGTGTAATAATAAAAATGGAATCAACTGTAACTGGAATGAAGATCAAACTTTCAAATTAATGAGGCAGAGGGAGTCTACAAGGCACCTCCCTGCGAGTGAAGACAACAGGTCAACTAGTCTTGCTTTTCATTTCCAATTGTCATCATCATCTCTTAAATACAGTAACATCATCTACCAAGATTAACTAAAAAATACACTTGCTGAGAAGACAGACACTGCTCTGGTTCTCCTAGGACAAAAACTGAACACAACTGGCTTCACAATATTTTCTGTCAAGATTTTCTTTTGACATTAATCTGTAATTAATGAAGCTCCCCAAAGAATTTTTGTTCCATGATCAAAGTATGTGAAGGTAGGCCAGTGGTATGTGTCTCCTGCAATTAAAGAAAAGCTACAGGCTTACAACTCTGTCACCCTCACCGAACAAGGAGGATCTGCAATTAAAGAAAAGCTACAGGCTCACAGCTCTGTCACCCTCACCGAACAAGGAGGAGAGAGATTTATGAACTTGATATAAGCCCCATGCTTGATTACAGATAGCACACAGATCTTCATTTTATGTTCTTGCAATCAAATTTTCATAGGACAAAAAGGTAGATGATACTCAGCTCCAAAAGACACCTCAGTTAGACCCCAGTACCAGGCCAGCAGCTGTCCACACCTGGCTTCAACATGCAAAACTGCACTGAGTCATTTATGACCAAACCCACGTTGTTGCAACACCACAGGAAAAGGAAACCGCAAGGGTTTCAACTAATCCCAGTGGAATAAAGGCCCCATACAACAACCACTGTTACTGCTAAACCTTTGCCAAAATGTAGCAATCAGAGGTGCAGGGACACCAAGGGTTCAGAAGCTCTGGCTGGCAATGACTGAACTAGAGAGGGGAAGGTGGTGGCTATTTAAATCAGAAACCTCTAGAAAGCCACGGCTGCAGTGGTACAGTGATCTTCCCTGGGAAAAATGTGCAACTTTATGAAGAAATGTGTCCTAAAAGTCTGGTGTTTGTGGCTTACC